AAAGCTCCGCCCTACGCATTTCGTCTTTCGACGTCCTCACGCGGGGCTTAATGGAGATGTTCCTTGAGGCTGTCGGCTGGATCACCGCTGTGAACGAAGCTCGTCCTGGGATTGACAGAGGCGGTTTATGCTGGTGTTGGCTTAGACACCTTCTTTTAAAAACTCACAAAGAAGGTGTCTAAGCCGCACCAGCATAAACCGCCTCTGTCAATCCCAGGACGAGCTTCGTTCACCGCGGTGATCCAGCCGACAGCCTCGAGGAACGTCTCCATTAAGCCCCGCTCCGTGAGGACGTCGAAAGACGAAATGCGTAGGGCGGGGCTTTGACATTCAATAAAGCCTATGTTTTAAAGAACGTTCATGGAGAGAGAGAGGAGGTTCATTTGTTAAGAAAGCTCCTTCATCCATGCTGGCTGATTGCAGAGTATTGCTCCCATACCTTTGGATACTTCAAACAGATCATCGCTCCCAGAGCAATAGAGATTATGCTGATTTATAATTTGATCAGCTCTGGTGAGTTTATTTAATTAATTCGGTGGTGGATTTCCTTCATGGTTGTCAATTATTTATACAAGATTGCTACATTGTTTATCACTTTATGGTGGCTGGATTTGATACAAGAATTGTGGACTTTATTTATTTATTTATTTATACACAGGTTGCTACATTGTGTATCACTTTATGGTGGTTGGACTTTATATATGAATTTTGGATATTTATTTTTATATATTTAGTTTATTATTTTGTGACACTTTAATATTGATTAGCGCATTCCTTTTATTATTTATTATTTATACCTATTGAGCCAAGGTTTGCAGCTGTATTGGAGATACAAGTGTGTGGCGCTTTTTCTTAGTTATTATTATATCCATAGCCTATTTGCTTATGGTTTTTTTTACTGTCATCACTGAATTGACACATTTTCAACACATGTACTTTTGCTGTCTTTGTACAACTTGGAAACTTAAATAAACATATTTAAAAAAAAAAAAAGGTTATTGCACACCCAGTTCTCAGTTACTATGATGTCAGTGAAGAGGTGACAGTTCAATATGATGCCAGTGAAGGAAGACTCAGAGCAACACTATTGCAAAATTGTCACCCAGCAAAATGGCCAACCAGTCACCAACAGAGCAGAGATATGCGCAGATAAAAAAAGAAATGCCTAGGCATTGTATATGGTTGTCAGAAATCTGACCAGTATATACATACACTATATTGCCAAAAGTATTGGGACACCCCTCCAAATCATTGGATTCAGGTGTTCCAATTACCTCCATGGCCACAGATGTATAAATTCAAGCACCTAGGCATGCAGACTACAAACATTTGTGAAAGAATGGGTCACTCTCAGGAGCTCAGTGAATTCAAGCGTGTACCAGGATAGGTTGCCACCTGTGCAATAAGTCCATCCATGAATGAAGTGGTAGGTCACATAAAATGACAGACTGGGGTCAGCGCATGCTGAAGGGCACCGTGTGTAGAAGTCTCCAACTGTCTGCAGAGTCAATAGCTAAATACCTCCAAACTTTGCATGGCCTTCAGAATAGCACAACAACAGTAAGTAGAGAGTTTCATAGAAAGGGTTCCCATGGCTGAGCAGCTGCATCCAAGCCTTACATCACCAAGTGCAATGCAAAGCATTGGATGCAGTGGTGTAAAGCATGCTGCCACTGGACTGTAGAGCAGTGGAGATTTATTCTCTGGAGTGATGAATCACACTTCTCTGTCTGGCAATCCGACGGACATGTCTGGATTTGGTGGTTGCCAAGAGAACGTCGCTTGCCTGACTGCATTTTGCCAAATGTAAAGTTTGGTGGAGGAGGGATTATGGTGTGGGCTTGTTTTTCAGGGGCTGGGCTTGGTCCCTTAGTTTCAGTGAAGGGAACTCTTAAGGCATCAGCATAGCAAAACATTTTGGAAAATGTCATGCTCCCAACTTTGTGGAACAGCTTGGGGATGGCCCCTTCCTGTTCCAACATGACTGCGCACCAGTGCACAAAGCAAGGTCCATAAAGACATGGATGAGCGAGTTTGGGGTGGAGGAACTTGACTGGCCTGCACAGAGTCCTGACCTCAAACTGATAGAACACCTTTGGGATGAATTAGAATGGAGACTGTGAGCCAGGTCTTCTCGTTCGACATCGTGCCTGACTTCACAAATGCACTTCTGGAAGAATGGTCAAACATTCCCATAGACACCTCCTAAACCTTGTGCACAGCCTTCCCAGAAGAGTTGAAGTTGTTATAGCTGCAAAGCGTGGCCAACTTAATATTGAACCCTACGGACTAAGACTGGGATGCCATTAAAGTTTGTGTGTGTAAAGGCCGGCGTCCCAATACTTTTAGCGATATAGTATATATAGATATATATATATATATACACACACAGAAAAAAAGCATATCAATATGCTTCCTTCTCTAACATCCCAGAAAGAAATACACGGTCCTCTATAATTAATAGGGAGATGTGCATGGTCTGTATGTGTGTATAAGTGGGTCTGGGAGGGAGGGGTATTCTCTATTTCCATATTGAGTTATCATAGTCTTGGTGTTCCTGGGACAATCTGCATTTTAAACACAGAGACATCAAAGGACAACGACATAATATGGTTGGCAAACAATTAAAAGTGGAACTACACTGCATCTGAGCACCACAAACCAAAAACGCTGTTTAATACATTTTTAATATTCAAAGAAAACTCACCCATCCATGTCTCCATGCTTTCTTTTGTTGAAAAATCACTTTAAAAAACACCCCCTAGCATTTCTGTCCATGGCCATCTTGAGTAAGGGCAGATGATTCATGTAGCATTTACTTCCTGCCCTTAGCTCAGGCATGCAAGCAGGAGAGGGTGTGCTTAGTTAAGAAAACCTCTCCTCCCCTCCTGAAGACTCCTGGGATGTATGACATCATTTGCCTCTTAGATTGTTAGCTCCAAGGATCAGGCCCTCCTAACCCTCTTGTATTGAACTACATTGTTGCTGTATTGTCTCCCGTTATATTGTAAAGCGCTGAGCAAACTGTTGGCGCTATATAAATCTTGTGTAATAATAATAATAATTTGCCTAGGCATGAAAACCAGAAAGCAACTGAAGAAATGTAAAAAAAAAAAAAACAATAAAACATGCAATTGTGATATAATACCTATCTATTTTCTAATGATAGCAGCATAAGGATTAAAAATAGTTAATGTTGATTGAGAGAGTGAAGTTCCACTTTACAAATTTCAGAGTAGCTCCACATTCAACTTCAGGTTGCTATGTAGCTTACATATCTACTGTCCTCCATCTAAATATATTTATTTTCTTAAGGATATGTAAATCAAGGGGTCATTTTTCTTATTGCTGCTGTCATTCTCTGGTATTTCCTTTCAAACAAAATATATGTCATGACCAATACAGCCCCAGGCCTACAGAATTATCAGGGCCTTAAATATGCTGCATGTCAGGATAAGAGTTCTAATTACAGAATGACCTTGTTTAGTGATACAGTTATTGGAGATATCACACCTCTTAGCTATTAACCATAATTACCTTTCAAACTTCCCTGCACATCTCCATATTTGGTCCAGCTGGCAGGCTTTAAAGCAGAAAATAGATAAGAGGCATCAAGTTCCTTCTGTGTTTTTTTATCTGCTAAATTTCTGTTCTGGATGGCATGTTAGCTTGTAGAGCCTGTAGGGGACTGATGCCCTTTAAGTGTCTGATAAGCCTGTGACTACTGATTATATTTTAAAGTGTATTTCCACTTTTTCAGCCAAATTGGGATAACAACTACTTTATATTTATTATATGTTGCTATTAACATAGCATAACTTAAATTGTTACTAAACCCAGGACCCTGCATTCACTATATCTGGTCTCCCACAGTACACAGAACATGGAAATGCAATTATTTTAAAAATAAACTACTAAATACCTTTTCTCATCAGAGGTTAGAGCAGTCTTGTGGATTCTATCAGTGTTCAGCCAAGCACTAGCTAAACCTTGTAGGAGGAGTTTTCTTTCTGCTCTAGGGGGATGCAAAACCCCTGACCTCTATCTGACCAGTGCTGATTGGCTCTGTGCTGATCACATGCACTCTCCCCAAAAAAAAAAAAAATCTCTAGCAATACACAAAAGACTGAACATGTGCAAAAGGCCTACGGTTCAGTCCAACTGATTAGGAGATAAGAGATGGTCCCTTGAACAAGGGAAGGAACAGAGCAGTCAGGATCAAACAGCCTTTTTACACCATGCAGAGGATTAACCCTTTAGATTCCAAAGTGAGTATAACAAGCATGCTTTACTGCATATATAGGCTGATTTTACTGTTGCGGGTTTAGTAATACTTTAAAAACAAATTTTTAAATGCTGGCTACCTTTTTAAGTGCTTTTTACTTGCTTTAAAATCCCCTCTCTGATTTGTAATGTTTAGCAGGGGGCTGTGGAGTAATGTTTAACATAATTAACCCTGTCTGTGCTGTGTTCACAGTTGTCTGTCCCAACAAAGGTTTCAAAATTTAGAATCTGCCCTCCTGCATTCTATATTATTGAGGGACAAGTCAGTGTGTGTGGGGGCAAAGACACTGTAAGACTGTCCAGAAATTCTTAGAATCAGCCATAAACCTCCTCCTAAAAAATATCTAAAAGGTAAGAAATGGGAACACATAACAAACAAATAGTGAGGGGGGATATGCTTTAACAGTTCATTAACCTCAAAGCGGTACATTTTTTTTAATGGAAATATGTTGTTTTTCTATTGCAGGCCTTGAATTTTTAGGAATAACTCACTGAAATCTGTCCGAACAAAGAGTCTAGTAAACATCCCGGGTAGGATAAAATTTGAAACACGAAATCATAAAAAATAATAACATAATAATAAATTTAATTCAATAATATAATCAAACCAAAAACACTGAAATTTGAAATAGAGCACCAAGTTTGCACATCAATGATCTTAGTTGCAAAATCGTTTTCAGTGTCTGATGACGAATTTCCCCACGAAACATTATCACTCAATTCTGCAAGTGGTTCTAATTTACTATCGCTGTTCTCTAGCTGGTCTAAAACCGCTTTTGACCTAAAGGGACGCTTTTTGGATGCCATGGACGTTTCTCAGTTTCCAGGCAGAAAGAACAGTAAAAATGCAGGCAGGGCACAGGACAAAGCACTCGGGACAAAATGTATGTGAAATGGTTTGATACAGTAATGTTATACTATGTGATTCTAGTGTATTTAGTGAATGTCACTTTTTGACATTTTTAAATTTCCTCCGGTTCCTTCTGCGTACGTCCCGACGTCTCAGGGAACGGAACCCGGAAGACAGATGCTGGACGGAGGAGATGGCCGGGGATGCTGCAGGGGGGACATCACGGGAGCACAGGACAAGGTAAGTGCAGAAGGGATCCCACAGCAACGCTGCAGGGTATTCCTGAGTGTAGCTCGGGGTTACTGCTTTTGGTGCTGAAACTTTCCCCGAGCTACACTCAGGAATACCGCCAGGGAGGTTAATGTTCATCATAACTTAAAGTGGCTGTCCTGTATTGAATAGCCTGATAATTTGTTTAATCAACTAAGCCATATTAGGGTCACTTTCCTGAAGACAAAACTATCTTGTATCGAAGCAAATGACTAATGATCTTCAAACTGGACAAAAAAATCAATTTAGCCAACTCATCAATTAAATGTGTACTCAAACTTTATAAGCAAGGCAAGCTGGGCACAGCCTTGGGGAACCTTTGCCAATGCGAAAAAAAAAAAAAAATGATGAGGGGCCATTTTATACATCCTAGAGCACAAGGAAACTACAAAAGACATTTAAACTACAAGTTGAATGCCTCAGTGTCTGTTCACACTGGGCCACACAATAAAATGCAGGGTCTTAAGCTGGCCAAACACATATACACTTTTCGTACAGGAATTTTCTTTTCAAGCATATTCTTTTGATTTTCGAATTGTTAGTAGGGTCAAATCGATGTTTGTTTTTGACCTCTGTGATGGGAAAATTTGAAGGGGCAGGAAGTAAAACTTTTCTCAATCAAACAAATTTTCGACCAGTATATGTGGTTATCGGTCAGAAATTACATTCATTTTAAAGTCGAATGTTAAAAGCAAAAGACAGTTTTCGAACAATATTCGTTCATTCACCGAATGTTCAAAGAATTTTCGTATGACTTTTCATATGAATATTCTCGTCTGAAAATCTACATATGTATGGCCAGCCTTACTGTTCAGGCAGCTATCAGTGTGAAGGCTGGGAGGGGGCAGTGCGGTGCACATTTAAGGGCATCACACAGTGTACTTTTTTTTTTCCTTCTAACTTTATTGAAATGTAAATGACATTTCATTCATTTCTATGCACCACAACTCAGAGGTGGTGCATAGAAATGGACAGTATGCTGAGCCTGCAGGAGACCTCTGGTCCATGGCTGAAAAATGCATATAGTATCAACAAGTAAATATGATATACTGCATCTTCCAATCTATTTATTAATGTTAGCAGCATAAGGATTAAAAATAGTTAATGATGATGAGAGAGTTTGGTTCCAATTTAACCGTTTGCCACTCCCCCCTACAGTAGTTGTCCTGTGAGTGGGCGGCAGCCAGGGGCGTATCTACCGTGAGACAAACAAGGCGTTTGCCTAGGGCGACAATTTTTTGGGGGCGGCACCGCCCCCCTGGAAGAAGGGACCTTTTGAGCAGTGGCGGACAGCAGGAAGATCGATGTGGGGGAGATCTGTTGCAGAGCGATGATCGTGTACCTCTCCCTCCAGCAGCTGATGAGCCAGGACCAGGGGACAGCCTGGAGCAGGGAGAGAAGTGATGAAAGAGTATGGAGGAGGTGAGCTGTGATGTCTTCTGTGGGCTCTCCCTCCTGTCATCCATCCGGCAGATTCCACTGACACATTCGTATGGGACTGCATGGAGATCAGCAGAGAGAGAGAGAGAGGGAGGAAGAGAGGGAGGGAGAAAGAGGGGGAGAAAGAGGGAGAGGGAGAAAAAGAGAGAGAGGGAGGAGAAAGAGAGAGGGGAGGAGAAAGAGAGAGGGGAGGAGAAAGAGAGAGGGGAGGAGAAAGAGAGAGGGGAGGAGAAAGAGAGAGGGGGGAGAAAGAGAGAGGGGGGAGAAAGAGAGAGGGGGAAGAGGGGGGGGAAGAGGGGGGGAGAGAGGGGGGGGGGAGGAGAGGGGGGGGGAAGAGGGGGGGAGAGAGAGAGGGAGAAATAGAGAGAGAGAGAGAGAGAGAGAGAGAGAGAGAAAGGGAAGAGAGAGAGAGAACAGAAAGGAAGAGAGAGAGAATCATATATACATACACACACTTATTGAACTCTCTCGCTCTCTCATTGGGGAGGGGGCGCAAAATTTTTGTGTTGCCTAGGGCAGCACAAAATCTAAATACACTACTGGTGGCAACTCCAGACCTGGCAACATACCAGTATGTTGCGCCTTTTCTTCTGGGTTCAGGGCGCGCAGCCAATTTGGCAGCTGATTTCAGCCAAAAGTTTTGGTGGAAGTCAACTGATCACGCGTGGGCAATCACAAAACTGTGTTTTATGAAAAATGATCTCTCTGTTTTGTCTCCCTGCAAAACAGGGAGAAAAGAACAGAGATAGTAAAGTACATCAGTACACATTGTTAGGCACACAGTTAACCCTTCGATTGCCCCTAGATGTTAACCCCTTCCCAGCCAGTGTCATTGGTACAGGGACAGTGTACAGTATTAGCACTAATCACTGTATTAGTATTGCTATTGATGCCAGTGTCAGTTGGTGTACCTCCCAGCCAGTGTCAGCTAGGTCCAGATCGCTCACCACACTATCAGAGTTCCACTATAAGTAGCTGATCACCGCCATTACCAGTATAGTATCATAGCTGTGTAAATTCCAGTATATATACCATAGTTTGTACAAGCTATAACTTCAATACAAACCAATAAATATACACTTATTGGGATTTTATTACCAAAGATATGTAGCAGAATGCATTTTGGCCTAAATTTATGAAGAAATCTGTTTTTTTTTTTGTTTTTTGTTTTTTAATTGGATATGTTTTACAACAGAACGTAGAGTTTTTTTCAAAATTTTTTTTTTCATTCATATTGCAGAAAAAATTAAAAACCCAGTGGTGATCAAATACCACCAAAAGAAAGCTCAATTTGTGTGAAAAAAAAGATTAAATTTTAATTTGCATACAGTGTTGCATGACCGTGCAGTTGCCAGTTACATTAGAACGAAAAAATGAAATCACAAACCCCAGCGCCACAGAAATATATAACCCCAAAAGATATATATATATAGGTATGAACTGCTGCTGTACACAAGTGCAATGCACCAAAAAAATATAAAAACAATATAAACAGCGCAAATCCAGAACCTAAAAGAATAAAAATGCAAATGAGAAATAATTAAGAAAAATCCCACTCAAATAATTGTGAAATTAAAAGAGTGTCCAAAAAAAACATAAAGTCCTTATCCCCAAAAAAATTATTTAATGTGTTTCCACCATAAGCCAAAAACCCCCATAAAAGTCCTCCCAAAAAATTGATTATTTTGTTGTTTTTGATGTGCTTTCACCATCCACCAGTGCTTAAACCAACATAAACTGCACTCACCATATACTGGTGAATTGGATGCCTTTTAGGACTTTTAGGGATCCTATACCCTCCTTTTACCACCTCCAGAACTCCATTCCACCACATAAGACCTTGAGTACTCCTTCTACTACCTCCCGACTTCTCCTTCCAGACAGACTCCAAGGCAGTGTAAGGAAAGAAACATATATAGTGTAATATTGCTAATACCCGCATATAGTGCTATAAAAAACACCAGGACAGTCACATTTTAAAAGATAAAATAAAGCATTATTTATTGCCTCCAACCGGCTCTCATAATTCCCTTATCATCCAGGACAGCATCAGAAACCTCACAGCCTTGGCAGAGGGTCACAGAGTGTATCTCTATACAAGCACAAAGATGGCCGCTTGGAACGCACCGCTCGGCATGTGCGCTCCACTCACCGGAAGTTGCGTAGGACGTTAGACGGCAGACCGGAAGTGCGTCGATGTGTTTTGCCCCTCCTACAAGGCGTTTTCAAAGACACACACCACCAGTCTCAAGCCGCTTATATCACACCAAAAAGACCCTCCCCTCTCTTCTCATAGGTAAATTGGCATTAATGAATAATATAACACGCTGTCATCCTATGCTCCCATACCGTGGAATTCCTTCACATAATCTCCAGCAAATACATAGCACCAACCCATTTCCACAATCAATTAAGCTGTACCTTAGTATGTATATTAATCAATACAAAATTGGTCCCAAAAACTCTCTTTTGTAACCTCAATATTTAGGCCAATGAAGAACCTTAAACATGTTAGCAATTAGCTTATACCCTTAAAAAAATCTTTATTGAATATACACTTAATAAATGAAACATTTTACAAATATATATAAAAAATATATAAAATATAATAATATGGAATAAAATAAAAATATAAAAATAAAAAAAATGAAAATAAAAATAAAAATGAAAATAAAAACAAAAATAAAAAAATAAATAAATGAAAAATAAACAAATAATAAAAAAATTAAAAAATGAAAAATAAAAAATAAAAAAAATTATATAAAAAACGAAAATAAAAAATAAATAAAACATAATGAAAAAATAAATGTTAAATATTACAAAATTTGCACTCAGACAAGCTTTTACCAATTAGACAAAAAACTATTTATGTCAATATCTGCATTTAACCCTTTGGGAATCAACGTCCCCATTTGGTATATCCATTTGGTTTCATTTTGCGAAATATTTTTGACCATATCACCCCCTCTTCATGGGGTATCAATTCTGTTATCCCACAAAACTTAAGGGATGATGGATCCCTGTTATGACATACCCTATAATGATGTGACAAGCTGTGATATTTATAACCCTTTTTTATATTTCTAATAAGTTTCCTTGTAGTTCTACCTATGTACTGGAAATGACAAGGGCATTCCAGCAGATAAGTAACATAGGAATTATCACAAGATATAAACTTCTTAATTTTATATGATGATCCATTAAAACAAGATTGAAAATTGCCATAATTCCTCTTGTTATCCCCTCTTCATGTTTTTACATGCTAAACACCTTCTGCATTTGAAAAAACCGACCCTATCCAGGAAAGTGGACACCTTCCTAGGTACGTCGGGAACATTTTTAACCAGTCTAGTTCTTAACGTTGGTGGTTTCCTATAGATCAGGGGTGGCCAACCTGTGGCTCTCCAGCTGCTGCAGGACTACAAGTTCCATCATGCCTCTGCAAGTCAGTAACTTCCCATCTTTGCAATGCCTCATGGGAAATGTAGTTCCACAACAGCTGGAGAGCCAC